ATCAGAACTCTAAGCACCTGAGAGAGAGTGGGCACCTCCCAGAACATTATATTGTGCCACGCCCAACAGAAATACTCCACTTGGATAACATTTACAATCAGCTCCTCAGTTGCTCATTCCACCACTGAGTTTACAATGACTTATGGGTAGAAAAGCCATACTAAGTAATTTACTACACTGCACATACTCACTTTGCTTTAGCCTTCTCCCCCTCCTCAGAACCAAAACAGTGCATTTGAATAATCTATGTTACATATTAAACTAATCCATAAAATTTTGTGTGAAAAAAGGACTCTGCTTTAAAAAGCGGGGGAGGGGGGAGGAAGTTTGAAAGGTCCTGCTTTAGACAGACATCCTCTGTTCTGAGAACTATCATCAGCATTTATTAATTTAATTTTTTCCCCAATGGGAAATTATCAGGATATCATATGCTAATAGCAGTTTTTGTTTTCTCCCACCCCAATAGAAAAATCTTAACCTCCAGTCAGATGAACACATATTTAAATTTCTGAAGGCAAAATTTGGTTTTGGAGCAACAAGGTATGACTTGTTATGTATGACAAGGTATGAATTTACAATGTATGTTTGCTATTTTACATTAAACCAGTAAAGACTTCAAAACTTAAATCATCATTGTATCTTCAACCTAATTGCAGGCTCATTTTGAGGAAAAACATAATGTAATTTACTTGCTTTTTATTTAATTTAATACTTTGTTTTCCATTTGTTCCGCAGAGATTTTGATGCAAATCTTTATCTGTGTGAAGAAGCTTTTGGTCTCCTGCCTTTTAATACCTTTGAAAGGCTTTCAGATACTCTGCTTTTTTATGCTTACATATTTGTTCTGTCCGTCACCGTGACTGCAGCTGTAGCTGTTGCTTTTCATAATCTCAGGTATTGTATATTTCATATATCTAGCACTCTGCTTTAATTAATTTGTTCTGTGTTGCGTAAAACTTGCTAAGTTGAAAATCAAAATATCAGCCACAGAACAGAGCAGTATTGTTCAGCTTATAGGAAAAGCGTTTTCAGTTTCCGGTGGAGTGTACTCTCAGATGTCTATATTAAGTGTAATGGGTATGGGTGGAGACTGAGCTAGCTTTAAGTCCTGGCTCCACGTCCTTGAGAACAATATGATCTTTGAGCCAGTTATAAACCTTTTAGGTTTCCATTTCTTCATCTGTACAATGGTAATACTAAGAAAATTTATAAGAATTTTGAAAAATAAGTCAAAACAATAAACTACCTGGATAGTGCCATATTCTAGAATATTTTGTAGATCTTAGCTATCATTAGCTATTATTATTATTATTGCCTTTAAATCTCCATTTTATGCCATTATTAATTTCATGTATTTCTGTCTCTTTCTCTAGTTGCCTTTTATTTTTTAAAATTTCTCATGAAATGTAAAGAGTTAACTCTTGCTGATTTGTTGCATCTTATTTCAGAGCCTATAAAGTTGGAAAGGATGCAATTATTAGTATCTACTAAAAATCTTAAATAACAATTGCTATTAAAAAAAACTTAGCATGTCTACTAATCTATTGAATAAAAAAGTCAAGGAATATTAAAGCTTTTCAAATATTGTCAGAATATCTTCCTATCAATCAGATGGAAGTTTTTGCATCTACTTTCTTTGTGAAATAGAAAGAAAATTTAAGTGTAAGAAAGTGAAGCTACTGTCATTTGCAGAAACTTAATGAAGCTCACAGGAAGCCCCTTTTCTATACAGGTACGTCGTCAGTTAAGGTGCTAGGAACTGATTCACAGCTGTGAGAAAGCCATGTTGGGAAAAAGTCATTAAAATGAGCCCAGATCAGTTGAGGTGTTGTATGGTTATTAAGAATGAAGCAATATTGAGCCATGAAAATATATTAATACTTTAGGAGTTCTGGTAGCATAGTGCCTCAGGCACTTGACTGCTAACCAGAAGGCTGGCAGTCAAACCTACCTGCCACTCCTCAGAAGGAAGGTTGGGCAATCTACTTCCATAGTGATACCACCTCGGAAACCCAAGGAAGGGTCGCTATGAGTCAGGTCCGACTCCACGGCACATAACGATAACAGCAACATAAACTACTTTAGTATCTTTTGGAAGTGTTCTTTTTTATACCTAGCCCAAGATAAAATTTAGTCCTGTGAAAATAATTATTCTAGACAGTGTAATTTAATATTATTGCACACACACCAAGTGTCAACAGGACACTAGACTCCATACAAATCAGGAGATGCAGGTGACTCACATATTTTTATGAAATGTCTGCCGTGCTCAGTGTGAATCTATGCACCATCTCTGGAGTTGATTTGATATGATTATAGATACAGAGTTTAAAGCATCTTCATCTACCAGGCAGGAATATTAAGACTTTTATAAAGAGAAAGTACTACATCTTAATAAAAATTAAAGGAGCCCTGGTGACGCAGTGGTTAACTCCTCAGCTGGTAACTAAGAGGTCAGCAGTTCAAACCCACAAGCTGCTCTGCCAAAGAAAGATGTGGCAGCTTGCTTCTATAAAGATTTACAGCCTTGGAAACCCTAAGGGGCAGATCTCTTCTGTCCTACAGTTCAGTATGAGTCAGAATTGACTTGAAATCAGTGCGTTTGGTATTTATGGCTTGGTAATATGAATTAACTTTTAAGTAGTTTGAAGAGTATTTTGTCAATGGGAAGTACTGGAAAGGTGATACATTATGTTTATAAAGTATCCGCATTAGCATGAAGGATACAACTAAAAAAGGCACTGTGTTCAATACTCAGGGGATTAATCAGAGCCTTTCAACTTGGTGGGAAGGTGGAAGGGGTTTGCAGAATTCTCCTAGGTATCACTGGAAGGTGAGAGCATATGTTCTCCATTTGTCTGCAGTAATATTTTAGTATCAGTAAGGAAACCAGAGTTTGGGTTGTAATATGTAACATTTAAGTTAAAGATACTATCAATGGTGAAAACTGCCTTATAGTATTGTTTTAATTTTCTTATAAATCTAAAATGGTGAAGAGGATTTTTGGAAATAAATGTTCTGTAATTACATAGAGAAGTACCATTAGATATCCAAGTATGAAGGATCAATAGGGTCTTTATAAAAGTATTATTATTTTTATCTTAAACTGGCAGTCATTATCACTAATTTGTTTTCCTTTCAACAATAAATTGTATAACATCTGAACACACTCATCAATCTTAACATCACAAAAGTGATCATCAGACTGTATGTGCTTCCAGTGTTATACAATACAAAGTACATCCTATCCCCATGCATTGTTCTTATCAAATAAAGTAACTTGACTCTAGGAAACCTCTAGATCTAATTAAAAATTTATAGGAAACATGGGAATGGAAAAATGTGTGAAACACCACGAGGAGGAGACAATCAGCCAAATCCAGAAGGAGAGGAGGAGTTACAGGATAAATGTAGATAAGTGACCTTAAAAAAAAATTGAAAAAAAAAAAAAAAGGGGGATACTGTTATAGATTCAAAGATATTTAAAGAGACACATGAATGAAATGCAGTGCACCAGCTTTGGATCCTGAATCAAGGAAATCACCTGAAAAACAGTTGGATCAATAGAGAAGATGGAATATTAACTTGATGTTAGATGATGTTAAGGAATTACTGCTAATGTTCTTGGGTGTAATTATTTTACTATATTTGATAAAAGGAGTGCTGGTGTCACGGTAGTTAAGTGCTTGGCTGCTAACCAAAAGGTCCGTGGTTCAAACCCACCAGCCTCTTCAAGGTAGAAAGATGTAGTAGTCGGCTACCATAAAGATTTTGTTGTTATTGTTGTTGTTGTTATGTGCCGTAGAGTCGGCCCCGACTCATAGCGACCCCTCCTTGGGTTTCCGAGGCAGTTATCACTACAGAAGTAGGATTGCCCAACCTTCCTCCCGAGGAGTGGCTGGTGGGTTTGAACCGCCAGCCTTCTGGTTAGCAGTCAAGTGCTTTAGCCACTATGCTACCAGAGCTCCTCCATAAAGATTTACAGCCCTGGAAACCCTATGGGACAGTTCTACTCTGTCCTGTAAGGTCATTAACAGTTGGAATCAACTCGATGGCGATGGGTTTGGCTTTTTGGTTGGCTTTTGATAAAAGTCACCTGCTACACATACACATTTGTAGTCATTGGTTCATAAAAGGACTGAGTTTCAAGTTTATGGCTACATTTTACTTTTGCTTATTTGCAAAAACTTAAAAAATATTAGTAATTATTTGTAAAACATCCCCAAAGGCCACTTCCAGGATCAATGATTTTCTTTTTCCCTTCTATTACCGTTTGAAGAATTGAAGCACTTTAAGTTTTTACTTAAATTAAAATGAAATCTGTGAAATTCTAGGTATTCTAATCAGTATCGTGTTTGTATTATGACACTTTTAACCTCATAGGCAAATTCAAAATTGATCAATGTTAATTTATTTCATCTTAGGAAAATAATACACTTTTAAATGTACGAAGGCATCAGATCCTTGTATATTCTTCTTTAAAAAAGATTTAACTGAATTGAAGTTATAAATCCAGATTAATTTTATATATTTGCTATTTTATTTAGTGATTCATCAAATCAAGAATCCGTGGATAAAATGGGAAAATGCACAATTGAACTGAAACCAGAAACTGCCTACAACTTAATGCACACTATTCTGTTTGGATTCTTGGCATTGAGTAC